ATGGTAGTCGTAAAGGTGAAATGGCGACCGTGGTAGTAGTGGTGGTAGTGAAATGGCGTTTGTAGTAGTGGTGAAGGTGGTAGAGGAGATAAGTAGTAAGAGAAAAAGATGAGTGAGAGACACAGAGAGAGAGAGAGATAAAAGAGATAGAGAGAAGAGAGCTGGACGAGAGACACAGAGAAAAGAGAGAGACAAACAGACAGAGAAGAGTGATGGGTGAGAGAGAGAAAGAGAAGAGTGACAGAGACAGGAAGAGACAGACAGACAGAGAAGAGTGATGAGTGAGAGAAAGAGAGAGAAAGAGAGAGAGAGACAGAAAAGAGAGACAGAGACACATAGAGAAAGGAAGAGACAGACAGACAGAGAAGAGTGATGAGTGAGAGAGAGAAAGAGAAGAGAGACAGAGACACAGAGAGAAAGAGAGAGACAGGCAGACAAACAGAGAAGAGTGATGAGTGAGAGAGATAAAGAGAAGAGAGACAGAGACAGAGAGATAGGAAGATGAAAAAATGGGTGAAAAGAGAAATGTTCAAAAGAGTAAGGCGACGTCGTTTATAGTAGATCGATAAATCGAGAATGAGCTCGATAAATAGAGAAGATGGGAGTAAGAGAACGAGCAAGACAAACATAATGAGGGAGAAATAGACAAATAGACAAGTAGACAGAGAGAGAGAGAAGAGTGATGAGTGAGAGAGAGACAGAGAGAGAGGGAGAAAGATAGAAAAAGAGAGAGAAACAAGAGATGAGCGAGAGATAGACAAAAAGAGAGAGAAATACAATGAAAAGAGATGAGCGAGAGAGAGACACAGAAAAAGAGAGAGACAGATAGAGAAGAGAAATGAGCGAGAGAGATAGAGAGAGATAGAAAGATAAGAGAGAGAGAAAAGAAATGAGAGAGATAGAGAGAATAAAGATGAGCGAGAGAAAACAGATGTGAGAGATAGAGAGAAGAGAGATAGACGAGAGACACATAGAGAAAATGAGAGAGAGAAACAGACATACAGAGAAAAAAGAGTGATGAGTGAAAAAGATAAAGATAAGAGATAGAGATAGAGACAGAGAGACAAGAAGATGAAAAAATGAATGAAAAGAGAAATGTTATATCAAAAGAGTAAGACGATATTGTTTTTTTTAATTTTTTTTGCGATAGAAAAAAGTACTAGAATTTATTCAAACCATTTTGTGACTGTATATATATGAAGCTGTCTCAAAACCACAATCACTATGCTAGGTTAGAGTTTTCCAAAAACTCTTTTGAGAAAATTATACTTTCTTGTTTTCCGTGTTATATTGTTTTTACTGAATTTTTTTAATATTTTAAGTATTTTTTTTTGATACATAGAAATATATTTCCTAAGATATTACTCATAATGATTTGGTTGCTGATATAGCTTCGCGAGTGAACCTACACAATTCACATACCCACCTTAACACCAAATATACCGTCATGTTTACACACTTACCTTTCAAACTCGAACCCTACTGACCCCCACTAGTACTTCCGGTTGACACCTCTGACCACAAACCCTTAGCCCTTCCCCACTGCGACCCAATCCCTCTTTTGTGGTGACCCTCTTCCTAACCCCTTTACCTTTCCACAAAACACCCTCTCTAGCCCTATTCTGCCATTGTAAACCACCTCTCCTACTATGAACCTTTTCCCCACCATGATGCTCTTCCTCAGTCCCTTTCCCTTATCGCGTACTTCTTTTTCAGACCTCTTCCTCACATAATCTCATTTTCCATTGCAACCCGTCGCAAATACTCTGCTTTTTTGAGACGGCAAATGGTGCCGTCGCAAATACTCTGCTTTTTTGAGACGGCATTTTTTGCCGTCGCAAAAAGTGACTTTTTGAGACGGCAAGTGTGCCGTCGCAAATAGTTCCGTCTCATAAACCCACTTTTCTTGTAGTGTATATATTTTTTGAGTTTTAAATGAATATATATATACATTTGCTGAAGGTCCTATGGACAAATTAAATGTACAAGATATGGAAATTCCTAAGGTATTCGAACTTTGTTGGGTTGTTCATTGATCACAGACTAAAGAAGTTAATATGTATGGTATTCTTTACTAATGAAAGGCTGTTGGCTATTACTTACTCTTCTTTATGATATGCACTATTACAAACGCTTGGGTCATGGCTGAATGGAAAATTAGGCCAATGTATGCGGCTGTAATTTATGAAAAATTTAAAAGATGATGTTTAATATATGTGTGTATGTATAATGCTTCGTATTGCAGGTGAATCAATCACTAGAATTATTGTCAATCAACAACAGCTGGATCATTCAATCTATACTACACAAGGTACGGAGTTTATATCTTAAATTTTTTTATGAAGCGGGTATTTTTTTAAAATATTATTTATTGTCTCTTTATGCTCTTTATGGGTTTGGTGATGACAAATAACTATTAACTCATGTGATGCTGCCCCCAGTGTGATCATTGGATATAAAATGCTTGTTGTTGCTCTGTTGCATAAAATTGTATATGTAGAATTGTATAGTATGATTGGTGTTAACCCAGTTGCATAAATATCAACTTGGTCCCCATCACAAACTTGCTCCTTCTCATGCTTGTTGGTTCTCCCGATGATGAGACAATTGCCTTTTGTATGATTCAGGAATTTCAACATAATCTATTCAGAAGACAAAAAATTAAAAAATAATTTTGAAGTCCAAAATTCTTTTAGTTGTCACATTATAAGCTAAACTGAAAGCTAAATTATTAGCAACACCAAAATTTCAGACACCATTCTGTTGGGGCAATACACTCCCAACCACTGTCAAGTGTAAATTAAAATATACAAAAATAAAAGGGTACACGGCTTCCTCCGGGCTACTGACTAGTCCTGGATTCCCGAAAAACCAGAGGGTTGGGGATACCTGCGTTATCAAAAATATATATATATATATACAAAAATAAATTAATTTACTAAGACAGAGAAAATAGACAGCCATAAGGGACACCCAGATTTATGTGAGAAACCTCCTATGTAGAGTAGAGAAACCGCGGTGCAAATATAATCTCCGCCATATCAAAAGAATGGGTTTACAGTATTTCTCTCCACTCCACTCACTAGTGGCTAAACACTCCAAATAATATGTAAACTCGAATTCTCTCAAAAAGGAGGTATACGACACACTCAAGTTATTTTTGCCCAAATTTTGAGGAATAAAGCAGAAGGAGATATCTCTCACTTGTCACTCCACTCAATTCTTGCTCTACTTTTCCAAAAAAAACTTCAATACAACGGTGATACCATGTCATTGGTATCACTATCCAATCATTTCTTATTTTTTACCCTTCATGTATATGTGGTAAGACAATTATTGGGCTGACCCTCCGCATCATATAACTTTATTGTTTGTTGGTCATACCATGTCATTGGTGTCACCGTTACACTGAATTTTTACTCCTGCCTTAGAAGCTCCCTCGAATGGGGTAGTTTATAGTTGAGATTGGGTCCTAGGAAAACCAAATCCCATCTGTCTGACCAGATTTTATTGTGCTATTTTCCTAGATAAAGATCTGCAGTAGAAAATCGGCAAATATGTTTGCTGCTGTATTTATTTCTACCCCCCAAAAAAATTCATGCCTCACAATCTCCTTTTCAATTGCTTGAACTTACTCTTTCTTCAATTGTCAAAGATCATTTACTATCTTTGAGATTTTGCATCAACATTTTCATTAATGATATTTGGTGAGGTGGACCGTAACACATTCCTTGAAACAAAAGAATTTCTCTTTTAACCCTAGCTGTAGAAATATGAACCACACAACCTTAATTTGTTTCTTGATCAAGCAAACCAATCAAATTCTGTAAAGGATTTGCACAAAAATATGCTATGGAAATAGGAGGCACAAAAAAAAAAAAAAAAAGACATCTCAAAAACTAGACACCCCCAAAACTATTCACAACATATGAAGAAAGTTACACATTTCTTCCACAATGAAACTGTGAGGCATGGAAAAGTGAAGAGATTTGAAGGAAAATTACAAAGATACTGTGTTTGCACCTATCCCTCCGAACACCAAGTAATTCACTTTTGCATAATCCATAAACCTGCCTCTGTTGCCAACACCCCTATTGTCCACAAACTAAAAACAAAAAATTGCACGTTAGTAAATTTTGTTTGATTATAAACGACAACGAATGAAAGCGATAAAATTGAATCAAAATCAAATAATTTAGCTATAAAATTGATATAACTAAAACAGTATGGATTAAATTTGATTTTTAAGTGATAATTTGGAGAGTAAAATAAAATTTTTATTGGTGATTATATTTTCATCGGAGTTGTTATTTGGTGGTCCGCATTGCTACATTTGTTTTTTTTTATCAGTAAAGAAAATTTCATTAGCAGCATGAAATTAAAGGTACATGAAGATGACACTGCTAGAAAATGCACTTTTAGCGACATTTTAAAAAAGTAAAAACATCGCTAATTCATTTTGTGACATTTAGTATCAAACGCCGACAACGCGGCCGTCGCTATAGCTTTATGGCATTTGGAAAATGTCGTTATATTAGTATAAGCAGCGTTTTTAAACATCACCAAATGTCCTACCCTAACAGTACTATGACGTCACTAAGACATTTAGCGACATTTTTGAAACGCCGTCATAGATATTTAGACATTGGAAAATGAGTGAGGCCCCCCTTTTTGGAAGACTCACACAACCCCCAAAGTGATCTACACCACTCATAAGTGGTGTAAATCACTTTGGGGGATGTGGGAGTCTTCCAAAAAATGGGCCTCTATCATTGTATACATTTTAAAAATTTAGCCATTGGGGTTGGGATATAGGAACATTTAAAAAACGCCGCCATAGGCTTTTTTTTTCTTTTTTTAAATTGTGCTAAGCTTGACATTTAAATATAGCAACATATATTTATACCTGCCATAAACGATTATTAAGAACTAATAATTGATGTATATTAAAATAATAAATAAACTAAGCTTGAAAACAAAATTAAAAATAAGAACCAATGCATTGCATACCCAAAAATAGAAACAATTCATGTTCAGACTTTAAATACATCAATTAAAATCAAAATGGTCAAGAAGACGTCAAATTACTTAAACTTCAAGAGTAGCTCTCATCAGTGTGAGATGAACAACATTTAAAAGAGGTGATTTGCCAAAAAATTGCACAGACCCCATAAGCTGTTTTAACAATTACAACCTTCAAGGCTCTCATCATAGCTACTGCTTTAAAAATGAACAAAGCAGCAACAACAACTATTAAAAATATAAGGATCTTACAAAAGTGACTCCCTAGCGGCATTAGCAGAGACTAAATAGAACTATTAAAAAAAATGTCTACTCAAGAGAAGAGACTCCCAAGTCCTCCTAGCAGAGCTACTTACATCCTCTGCTTAAGTGACCTCCATCTGGACTCATTTCTGTCTTGAGAAATTGCCAATTATTTATCTTCCTTTGTCACCACAATGACAGCTGTGCTAGGTTTGTCTTCTATTCTACATCATTTGCTCCCAAGTATCATACAAGCAAAACTAAGAATTTACAATAGAGATGTTTCAACATTAGATAAATATTAGTATTCAAATAATTCATCGTTTTACCAACAAAAAGCAGCAAATAATTCAAAAGGCAGGCTCCAAATATGATGACAAGGTTTACATAATTAACAATGTGAAAGTATTGACATAATTCATCGTCTCACCAGCAAAACCTTGCACCATTGTCATTACCCACTCAGCTACTTGCTGTATCGACCAAAAGGCACATAATATTACCAAATATCCCACAAGATTTGGATTTTTTTCAAGCTACTACTTTCTAGGTTAATATATAAAACTATGTGGCTGATTTGGCTTAATTCAAGTTTTTAATTTGTTTCCAAACTAAAAAACAACCAAATTGTATCACTCCAATATTTCATTTTCCTCATTTTTTCAGGTTATCCAATCTCAATATCGCGCAAAGATGTGTTGCGTTGCATTTAATTTTTTCAATTTTTAATTTGTTTCCAAACTAAAACCCACTGTTCTCTGTTTTCTGTCCTCTATTCTAGGTCTTTCCCAATCTACAATTGTTCACTAATTTCCAACACCAAATCACATCATGTCTTAATAGATTTAGAAAAGTGAGAAATTAAAAACTAGTGATGTTAGTACTTTTACCTTGTTAGTTCTTCTTCTTCTTCTTCTGTTTCTTTGAAAGGTGAACCTATATTTAATAAGAACAAGTGAAGAAAGATTATATATATACCCCCCCCTCCAAAAAAAAAAAAAACACAAAATGATTGAGAGCCTAGCTGTAATGTGTGGTAGGTTATTCATGCAATCAGGCATATCAGTGAGCTACCAAGCAAGTGGGGTATGTGATGTAATTTGGCAATGTTCTTCAATTCAATTCAATATCTAAGTTTGGCAATGTTATAATTTGGGATGAGCATTGACAGACCATTGGAGTGGAGTTTTATAGAGGTCTTTGTTATAATTTGACTTCGGCTGCTGTAATAGCATCCCACTGGAGTTTCACTAACAATGCATTCAATTTCTACTTATTTTTTCCCAATAGAACCATTTGGCCCAACTGGAATTGTCATTTCAATGCTATATCAGGATACAATTATGGATCTCAAATTGATCTCATTCCACTTTAATAAAGCACAAGGTATCAATCCATCATTGTAGGCTTTATCCTCCCAATTCTTTGCTCTAAGAGCTTTTATATTCTCTGTTTTGATCAAAAACTAATTCAAAGGCTCACAACTAGTTAAACAGCTATGTACAACATGATCTACCTTCATCCACCTTTCTAGTCTCAAACTAACAAGGAGTTTTATAAGACTGAAACAGCTTAATGCAAAATCATAGTCATTGAAGCAGTCTACAATGACAATGTCCACTTTAAGAATTGCATACATAAAGCATAGCTATGGCAGTGGCGCCTGCACCAACTGTGCTATTTCAAGTTCAGAACTCTTGATGCATTCAATGAGTAAAAGAGACTAGTGATTAAATGATCTGCAAAGAAAACCAACTTGAACCATACACACAAAATCCCATAGCATGTACTGGACATAGTTGTTTGATACAAAATCCATCATTGTACCCTATCTTAACACCTGTTTTGGTCTATTAAGACAATTCCCCAACAATGATATATATTATCATAACTAAAGCAAAAATATTATTGTTATTGATATCTAAATAAAAGATAAGACCACCATCTGAAAAAATAAAAAATAAAAGATAAGACCCATTATCACATAAGATGATATCCAAAGAGCAATCGTCAACCTAAAAAAAAAAGTAGCCAAAATGTAGTGGTTGCTTTCGGTGCCTCTTGTCTTGTCTTGGTAATTCTCAGGAAAGAAAATGATATAATGCGACTAAAATGACATACACATGCACAAAATGGATTGTAAGACAATTCGTTCAACCTAACAATACTTGAGCAACAAACAGCTCATTGGTTTTTCACTGGAAATTTCAATAAAAATTAAGCTACTTTATAATTGGTATTTTTAAAAATATCCTCTTCTTTCACACAAAAAAGCAAAGTTTTGTTATTAAAAGAAAATTCATGATAAACCAAGTTAACTAGTAGCATCAAGAACATCAAAACATTTCACACAAACAAAACATCAATCACTGAAACAGAGCAATACTTTCGCATTACAGAATCAAAACTTGGCAACAACCAAATCAACAAAACAGAAGAGGGTTATAGTATATATATATAGAATCACTGAACCAACAGAAACAAAATAGAATCAACAACCAACACAAACAAAATAGAATCACTGAATTAGATTTACGATAGTCATACATATATATATATATATATATAGAGAGAGAGAGAGAGAGAAATGGGTAGATCCAAACCTTTCTGCCTTCTCTCAATGCCTTGATCTCCGCATATGCAATGCCTTGATCTGCACAAACGAAAATCAACAACCAAATCAACAGAGAGACCTTCAAAATCGAGAAAGAGAGAGAGAGAGAGAGACCTTTGAAATCGAAAGACAAAGAGAGAGAGAGAGACCTTCAAAATCGAAAGACAAAGAGAGCTTTGAAATCAAAATCGAAATCACCAAGATGTCATTCTGAGATAAATCCCAGAGCTGAAGCAGATTTTGAAGGATTCGATTGGTTTTTTTGAGATTGTAGATAGCAGTGCTCAAAACTGAACTTCGAAATCGCAATCGCTCTGAGAAACTACATGATTGAAGCCATACGGATGCAAATAGGTTGGCTCTGAGAAATTTCAAAATCGCAATCGCTCTGAAGAAGAATTGAGAGAGAGCAAGAGAGTGAGAGATTTGAGTGAGTGATAGATTCAAACTAGACGGTTGTGGGTTTTGAAAATAAAGGTTTGGAGAGACAAAATAGGGTTTGTAGGGAGACAGGACTTGGAGGTGTTTCCAAGCGTCTTCTATTCATAAAACGGGGTCGTTTTGATTCATATCAAATGCGACGTTTTAAAAACTTTGTTAATTATTAGAAAAAGTGACGCTTAATATAGCACCATTAATTAAACGCTGTTAAATCCCTAATTTCCTGTAGTGTGACATGCATTGAGAGAGATTCGAAAAGTACAAATTACCCCTACTACTACTATTCGCATCCATACAGTTAACCCCTTCGCTTCACGGAATTTTTTTTTTTTTTTTTTTTTGTGACAAAATAAGTTGGCATTGCTACATACTATTTCAAAAATTAACATAAAAATGTAGGTCCTATAATGAGGTAACAAAGCTAGCATGGCTTTGACATAGGTATATATAATGTTTAAGAGTCAATGATGAATTTGTCTCATAATTTTTAATAGAAAGCATATGATTATGTATTTTTTACCCAGTCGTCCACGGTTACATGATGAAAATTCTTCAACTGCACGGACCCATTTTTTATTAAGTAAATTATTGTGACCATTTTTTAGATTTGTAAAAAATATAATAAATCTTGTAAGTTCGGTATATAATTATATTAGCTTATCTTTGAATAAGATTAAGGGAGACTTATGTGTAGGTCATAATATGTGAACTTATTGTCTACTAAGTTCTATGATAATTAATGACGTTTTTCATCCCACTATTAAAAAATGTCACTAATTGTTAATTTTAACAACAAATTAAAAATTTTGTCATAAAAAATGTTACTAATTATAAGTTTTAGTAACAGTTTAAAAAAATCGTGACAAAAAAAGTTACTAATTTTTAACTTTCGGAGACAGTTTGAAAAATTCGTCTCAAAAAAATGTTGTTAATTTTAACAACAGATTAAAAATTTTGTCATAAAAAATGTTACTAATTATAAGTTTTAGTAACAGTTTAAAAAAATCGTCACAAAAAAGTTACTAATTTTTAACTTTCGGAGACAATTCGAAAAATTCGTCTGAAAAAAATGTTACTAAATGTTACTAATTATTTTTAATTGAGCTATACTTAAGGAATGTGTTTTGTTTTGTTGTCATTAATTTTGTATTATAAGTATCAAATAAACACATTTTTTATAGATGAATTGGAGGGACGAAAACACATATTTTCTAACACAATAAGCAAATTATCAAAGTACAATTATGGTAAGGACTTTTCTTAGGTGTGCCTTGCATATGGTATGCAAGGCATTTACACCCTTTCTATTTTGCATTTACACCTTTCATGTATTGGGTTATACGACATTTTTTGAAAGTTTACACATTTGTGACCTGCTAAACGAGTCACTTTGCAGGTAAATTAATTAAATAATATAATGTATTAATAATTTCATAAAAGGTCATAAAAGGTGTAAATATGAAAATATTTTCAGAAATGAGTGTGAACTTTCACAAAATGATGTAAGTGTATTGACGAAAAGGTATAAACTTTCAGAAATGGGCGTAAACTTTCAGAAAATGGTGTAAGTATTTTGACGAAAATGTATAAGTTTAGAAAATTTTCAGAAAAGGTGTAACATTTCAGAAAAGGGGTGTAAAATTTAGTTTAGTGTAAATTTTATCGACAAATAGTCGCTAAAGGTTGAAAATTTTATTACTATCGGCCCCTCTCTTCTCTATTTCCCACAAACACCTTCTTTGTTCTCTCTCAGATGCACACAGAATAGTCACCACCAATCCTGACCCCCGCTGACCACCCAGGCGTCGGTGGCCTTCGGTGCTCACCGTCGTCTCACATCGCCACCACCACCGCCGCTGTTGCTGCCGCAAATCAAAGGTTTTTTTTCTTTCTCTCTATCGATCTTGGTCTCTCTTTGTCGATGTCGGCCTTTTCTCCGTCAATATCGGTCTCTCTCTGTCGATCCCTGTCTATCTTGGTCTATCTCTAGCGATCTTAGTCTGTCTGTGTCGATCTCGATCTCTTCTCTGTCGATCTCGGTTTGGCTGTCTCTGTCGATCACTCTCTATCTCGGTCTCTCTGTCTGTCAATCTCAGTCTCTCTGTTTGTCTGTCTGTCTCTCTGTTCCTTCCTCTATATTAAAAATGGTTTTCTTTTACATTGACATACTTGGTTGGATTTTGACTTGGGGTCGCTATTCCAAGCCCTCCCAAACTCGTCTTCTCTGAAACAGACTTCTACTGAGAGAAAGACCTAGGCCTCCGAAACGCCGCTTATCTCTCACATTGCCATTATTTGAACAAGATGAATACAGTTTGATTGGATTTTAGGAACTTACACGCTTTGTGAAAAAACGGAACTTACACCTTTTGCGAAGTTACTTGCATCTCTTGTGAAAACACTTAGACTATTTGTGGAAGGTTACACATTTGTGAAATGATTTATTTTGTAAAATTTATACATTTTCGTTGAAATACTTACACTTTTTGTGAAAAGTTACTACTTTTGTAAACAATTTTATTAAAAAAATTTACACCTTTTATTGGAAGTTACACATTTTCTGAGAACAGATCTTACACTTTTTATCAAATAACTTACATCTTCTGTAAAAAAAATTTGCACCTTCTATGGAAAGTATGTTTTCATAAAGTTTACACCTTTTGTTAAAAACTTACACATTTTCTGAAAGTTTACACCTTGTAGTGGAAATAATTACATATTTTCTGAGAAGTTACTCCGTTTGTGAAACAATTTTTTTCAAAAAATTTACACCTTTTATTAAAACTTACACCTTTTGTGACATAACTTAGATCTTTTGAAAAATTATTTACACCTCTTATGAAAAATATGTTTGAATAAAGTTTACACCTTTGTTAGAAACTTACACCTTTGCTGAAAGTTTACATCATTAGGCGAAATACGTACACGTTTTCTGAAAAGTTACTCCTTTTGTGAAATTATTTTTTCCATAAAATTTACACATATTATTGGAACTTACACCTTTTCTGAAAACAAAACTAACACCTTTTGTCACATAACTTACATATTTTGTGCAAACATTTACACGTTTTATGAAAAGTTACACCTTCTATAAAGAATATGTTTTCATAAAGTTTACATATTTTGTCAAGAACTTACACCGTTGCTGAAAGTTTACATCTTTTACTGGAAATATTTACACCTTTTCTGAAAGGTTACTCTGATTGTGAAACAATTTTTTTCAGAAAATTTACACCTTTTATTAGAAGTTACACATTTTGTGACATAACTAACATCTTTTCTGAAAATGTTTACACCTTTTATGGAAAATATGTTTGAATAAAGTTTACACCTTTGGGGGAAATACTTAAAGTTACACCTTCTGTGAAATTATATTTTCCATGAAATTTACACCTTTAATGGGAACTTACACCTTTTCTGAAAACAAAACTTACACCATTTGTGACATAACTTACATCTTTTGTGAAACCATCTACAAGTTTTTTGAAAATTTACACCTTTCATGGAAAAAATATTTGCATAAAATTTATACTTTTTGTTAAAAACTTACACCTTTTCTGAATGATTATTCCTTTTGTGAAAGAACTTTTTCCATAAAATTTACACCTTTTATGAATCTATTTACACATTTTTTAAAAATTTACACCTTCTATGGAAAATATGTTTTCATCGAGTTTACACATTTTTTTAAAAACTTACACCTCTTCTGAAAAGTTACTCCTTTTGTGAAACAAAGATTTAAAAAAATTTTACACCTTTTAATAGGAGTTACACCTTTTCTGAAAACAAAATTTACACATTTTCTGACATAATTTACATCTTTGGTGAAGACAATTACACCTTTTTTGAAAATTTACACGTTTTACGAAAAATATGTTTTGATAAAGTTTGTTAAAAACTTATACCTTTTACGAAAGTTTACATTATTTGGTGAAAATACTTACACCTTTTCTGAAAAGTTACACCTTCTGTGAAAAAAATCTTTCATTAAATTTACAGCTTTTATGGGAACTTACACCTTTTCCGAAAACCGAACTTACGCCTTTTGTCAAATAAGTACATCTTTTGTGAAAAAATTTACACATTTTTTGAAAATTTACACATTCTATGGAATATATGTTTTCATAAAGTTTACATGTTTTATAAAAACTTACACCTTTTCTGAAAGTCTACACCTTATGGTGAAAATACTTACACCTTTCGTCAAAGGTTATTGTAGATCGCTCGAAACTCTCTCCGCGCAGCCCCGTTTTCGGAGAGGGTGCGAATTGTGTTCCTGCTACTACAGTTTGGACTCCCATCACGGTTCTGAATCTAATCTCACAAAGTGCAATGTAAGACTGATAAATCACCAAAGAGTCCAAATCCGACAACTGGTTTTGAAAAATCAATTTTAAATCAAAAGCGGCAAACATGGACTGCTTTGCCAGATTCCAGAGTCGCCACCTAAATATTTTATTTTGGGAAATTTAGGAAACCCTGACTCATGCCTAAGGCCACGTGTCCGTCATCACCAAAGTTGCCTCGGCTCGGGAACTTGGGTACGAGGGGGGAAGGTCATGAAATGAGCACCCCCGCTCGCTCGATCAAAGATCGGCCTCTACTAAACATGATATGTTTCATAAACACATGTGTTCTTATTCCGGTTTATTAGCTAACTTACTATGTGATGCGATCAACATACAAGTATAGATTCAATCACGCGAATTGGAACAAAACAACTCATGTTTGTTTTTCGAAAATAGTTTGAAAGTGCTACTCGCAAGTAGGCTAAAGCGCGGATTTGCCACCCTCAAATGGGCTTAGAAAAACATGATTTTTCCACTCCGCAAAGTGGGCTTAAAACTCACAATCAACGAGTTGTTCCAATTCAGGCAACCAAGCCTTTATCCACAGGCATTCATGCAGTTAATTACTTAAGCACATAACCTCATGGCAAGCATGCTATCATGGAAACACCCACACTTATGCAAAGATGCTAAAGTGTAAACACTTACAGTGTACTCCGAGCCAAAATAGAAAACTAGTTAGAGACAATGCATGATCCTAACTATACAAGATGCCTAATGCAACACATGCAATAATGCAACTAAATAGGCTC